GATTCCTCTCATTGAGACGAATCTAAAGGTACCAAATTAATCTAATTTGGATTACTGGGTCACAAGCTAATCAAGTTTTGTAAAAATTTATATATAAATATACAGATTTTTAAATTTTTTTTATATAGTCTAGGGGGTCAAGAGTTAGGCCACTTCAATTTAAATGATGTTTAACATAACCCCCCTCCTCATTATTGAGCAAATAATAGAGGGGAGTTAAACAACATATATATGTAATACTTAAATTTCAATTTCAAGCTATGTAATATAGTCACGCTCAAACCAGGAATGTAGCATATGAATTCTTTTAATTCTTTTGAACTTTTTTTACTATTAAATATATAAATAATATTGTAATTTGAAGCAAATAGCAACCCAGATTCTTGGGCCTTTAAAATTGATTAGTATCCATCAAGAATTGATAGAATAGATAGATACGTGTAGAGTGAGACAAATATGATATTTATTACTAGTAAATCTAAAATCATTAAGAATCTACAATCTATAATATAATCCAAAAATTTTACAATTAACAATCCCAAACATACTATAGGAGCGAACCAAACTTAAACATTAAACCCAGGTCTTGTTACCATTAAAGAACTTGTACCTATTCAAATTAAACAAATTTATTTAATATAACATAATAAAGTTCTTAAACAAAAATATTTCTAGTTACCTTCTTGCAAAATCTAATAGACGGGATATATTTTATAATATTTTACCTTCTAAGCAAAGTTCGTCAGAAGTGAGATCTTTCTGCATAGCGAATATTGATAGTGCTTTAAAGCTACAAATAGATCTTGGAATGATTTTTATTAGTGCTGTCGTGAGACGTTCTGTTTTGAAAAAGTACCTTCAAGCTTTTTTCTTTCCCAATTTTAAAAAAAGTCATTACTAAGCTAACACCTCTTGAATTTTAGATTATAAAAGATTATTTTTAAAGGTGGTTTTCCAGTACTCAAATGAAGCGATATATGTAAAAATTTTTTCTTTTTTATCAGTGAAACATTACGTTCTCAAAAAGTACTTTAAAGTGTATAAATAAGTTACCTGAGCAATTGATTTGCATCAGCCAATCAAACAAACTTCTGCCTATATCCTATCATATTACCAGAAGTGCCTTTTAGACAAAAACACCCATAAATGACCATAAACCATATCTAACAAACAATAATGTCTTGTGAGAAAGGCTTCAAGAAGGACAAGTAGATAAAAGAAAATTGGTTGCATACTTATCTTGGAAAGAACCTTGCATTGCTGTAGCAACTGCTATAGCCCAATTACCTTTAATGGTCTTCACACCTGCAGCTACGGAGCCAGATTATATTATAAAGGTCCTTGCACTGCTACTGAGTTGCAGAGCCTACATATATTCTATATGGTCCTTACACTGCTATTGTAGCCACGAAGCCCAATTACATTCTTAATGACCCTTGTACTGCTACTGTGGCCGCAGAACCTACATACGTTTTGTAGGGTCCTTGCACTATTACTACAGCGCTGAGCCCAATTACATCATTAATGGTCCTTTCCTAATAGCTCATTAAAAGGTCCTTGCATTGCACTGCTCGTGCCTTGCTATCACCCTTATATGATTGGTAGGTACAGGGAATGATAGAGCCAGCCTTTCTACAAGGCAAGTGATATCAAAAAGAAAGATAATTTTCTCCATTAACAACCTAGGCCTTCCATAATCACATGCGATCACAAATCAAATATTCGTTATACTAAAAATATAGTGCTTCCAACAGAGAAAGTTCAGGTATTATGATAGAGCCAGCCTTCGCTACAAGGTTAGCGATAGTGAAAAGAAAGATAACCTTCTCTACTACCCAAGGCCTCTAAATATCCCTAAAAAACAATTTTGCCTATCATAGTAACTCATATTTCTAACAATCATATGCGATCACAATATTGACCAGGAAAAATACCTGTATCTAGCAAGATACAATAAGGATTATATACAAAATCCCATAAATGTCAGATGACAATTGAATATATGATCGATAAAGTCATCTGATTTTGCAATAACAACTGTCGTTGACAAGCTTTTCAATACAAATTTAAATTGATTTCAATTACATTAATAAAGTTAAATAAAACAAGTTATGTCAATAGGTATAAGATCACATGTGCATGAATACATGCAAATTTTGCCTAATCAATTTCATGAATTTGCACACTTGCCATAACCATACATCATGAATTGAATCTGTATAGAAAGATCTCTGAAATTTCAAGTCGAAATGTATTGGAATCCTGGTCAGCTAGGCCTGAATTGATTAGTCTTGCCCAAGATTACTAAAAATATTACTTTTAAAAATTATCGAAAACTTGTTAGTGCGTCCAAATTGATAAGATGTATAATGATAACAATAATCGTAACAATGTGTACTTTTCGAGGTATCAATAAACAAAAAATTATATCAGTAAAAAATTTTGTAATAGTGAAGTACATAATATTAAATAGAGATGATATAATAGCAAATTTAAGTATATGTAGAGGGGTTTTTTTAAACCTTAAAACTGGTAACGGACCAATTTACACTTGGCTGTAGATTGGTTGTTATTATATATATTTGTGTTTCTTTTGATATCATTTAGACTTTCTGAACCTTGCCAAGACTTATCTTAGTAAAAGTGGTGTTAAAGTTGAGGTATTAAAATATAATAGAAATTTTATTGTATAAAGTATTGAAAAAATAAGCTTCTAACCTAATAATTCTAGCTGATTTTCTAATTCGAAATCAATCTAACCCATATAGTGCATGGTGCAAAAAAAAAAAAAGCCTCATTCAAAATCTCAACAATAGCAATGACAAAGCAAAAACTTTATATTTATAGCTATCTTACTTATTTCAAGTAATTCATTTTAAATATGATTGACTAAAACAAGATTAAATACATGGTTTGCTTGTAATTAGTCTTTTTTCATATTATGTAAGCTTATATTTTGACTATATGTATCGATATGTTTTAATTTATTAATTTGGGTCTTTAATAATTACTTCCTTGACAAACCTAATGTATAGATCTTTAATTCGCATATGAATATAGTTACTAGTAAAATTTTTAAATAATGGGTTTTTTTGTTGTATATGTAGTTAGAGAAACAAAAACTATTATTCCAGACAAGGTTGTAAAGGTGTTGCATACAGAAAGTTCTCAATTTTACGATATTTTAGATGCGACTACAAATGATCAATTTGAAGATTGTGTTGTTCAAGTATTTTTGAGAAAGCCTCCAGAAAATTGGGTTTATGTAGAAGAAGGATTAGAAGGTGATATATCAATGCTATTTGAGCTTAATTTTACCCATATTAAGTTTGTTTTAGATATAGCAGAGACTAGCATTCAAGAATCTTATCAAAATTCAAATGCATTTGATCTTCTTATGAAAAATTTACAAAATATTCATCTTCCTGAACTAAAAAAAGAGAATAATCGCAGAGACTTACTTTATAATGAAATTATTTGCTTGTTTCAAAATAAAGAAGTTGGATGGAAAAATGCAATGCATATACTATTGGAAAAAGTTTTATTAAACGTCTAACAGCAGCCTTGTGGTATATTGATCCACATCGTACAAAGTTTATAGCATGATCACTTTCACTTGAAGAACTATTTAATGAATTAAATCAGTATTGAAAAGACCAATATTATAATCTTTTTTATGATACTGGAAAACATACTAAATCTAATCTTAAACGTGATAAACTTGAGCAACTAGCATCTTCACTAGAACTATCAGTAGTACAACCATGGGCAACAAACGATAATTGGAAAATAATTATTAATGAGGTTTTTATCTTAATATCTTCAATACAAAAATATGCAAAAAACTTAGAGCAAATTAATCAAGTTATGAAAGAAATATATTTAAGTGACACACTAGCACACCAGCCAGCTAATGATCTAAAAGTATATATGATTGAACCTTGTTATAAGATTAATATAAAATACCAACAACTTCAGGATTTTTTATCTAATATTGATGATTATAATGAAATTAATCTGGAAAGATTTTTACCTCAAGATACAATACAACATTATTATTACATTAAAGATCTTCAAATACAATTTCCAATTACTTTATATCATTATTATCAAGGTAATTATCTTGGTACTATTAACTATATTTGAAAAATTCTATTGAATTTTGAAAACTGATCAGAAACTACTCAATCACATATAATGGCAGCTATTCAAGGAAGATTGCCACAATATTTTAGTCGACAAATGTGAAAAAATATATTAAAAAAGGTAAAGATTATATACTTTGTTTAAAAATATATAAGGTTTAATGTATTAATTTTTAAACTACAAAAAATAATATTAGTATTCATTAGTTCAAACTATTACACCTGCTATTTTGCATGTTTTATATTATGATTTAACTGGTGATGCTGCTATAACTCCAAATGAGATTAGTAAAGAGTTAGAGAAATGACTTCATCTTATGTTAGCAATAGAATATCCATCAGTTATATGTGATTTGTGTCAGAATAATGGATTTAAAAGAACAAAATTTAATATATTTTGGAATGAATTAGAAGCTTATTTTAATGAAGTATATTTTTAACTATATATATATTATATAATGAGATATTTGTTTAATTAATTTATTTGTTTTATTAGAATATACCAGCAGTTAATGATCGTCAACATGGAAATATTCTTTATATACCACTTGCTATTTCAATATATGATCTTCATGAGATAATCATTCAACGGCTAAATAATAAGTCTATATCTGAAGCTATTTTAATTCCAAGTGAAGAATAGATATGTTTGCAGTTTCAACCAACAAATCTAACTGCCGAAAAAGCTAAACAATACATGGGACACTTTAATATCAAGTTTATGGTTCAGGCAAGATTGCTTCGCAAAGATCATTCAGATATGCATTACTGTGCAGCTCTTTTTGATATCTAAGAGAATTTGCAATTTTATATCGGCAATATACTTTATTTATCTGTGCTAATGACAAATACAAAGTACCAATTGGAGAAGATGTTAATACTTCTACTGGTGTGCGTAATAAAAAATCTATAGTTTTTCAAGATATTTTTTTGGTTACATGTGATCATGATTTTACAAAATTATCTCTTACTTCTTCCGTAATATTTTTTTGCAATATTCCTCAATCTATTGAAGATTCTTTTTATAGTGGAAAAGTATTTATTTCATTTAAGGATACAGTATTTCAACCTAGTAATACAATTAGGCATGCAACTGAATTTTATCATGTAATTTCTACTAATTGTTTTAATAATATTCCTTCAATTCTTTGTTTTTATACTGATGGTGGTCCTGATCATCATGTAGTATTTTCTTCAGTTCAAATTTCTCTTATTTGCTTATTTTTACATAGTAATTTTGATATGCTAATTGCAATGCGTACAGCACCTTATCATACTTTACTAATCCTGCTGAAAGAATTATATCTATTTTAAATTTAGGTTTACAAGGTGTAGCATTAGTTAGAGATACAATGAGTTCAGAGTCAGAAATAGAATTTTTTAAGTTAGATACATTGGGTAAAATTCGTACTGCTGCTAAAACAAATTTGATTTTGCAGAATGATTTGTGTAAATATATAAAACATATACAACATTTATTGGAAGAATGTACTAAAAGATTAGTTTTACAACATGAACTATTTCAATGCTATATCCTAGTAGACGAAATAGAAATTGAAAAATTTTTTGATGTATGTAATTAAATTAATAAATGTTAAAAATATCTATTATCTAATTTATATACTAATATATTATTTATTAGATGATATTGTTAATTGATCGAACCTGAAAAATTTCAGAAACAACAAGCAATATTTTATCAAAAAAAAAAGATTTACAACAATTTCCCTATAAAAAATTTTTTACAGATATATTCCGATTTTGTTCCGAGCAAGTCGAACCCATCCCGATCATATTCCGAA